GTATGAACTCGTAATTAGGGAGAAGCCTTCTTGAAAGGTAATTTAGAGAGTGGCATTAACAATGATGACTTGAATGTTGAATTCCTAAAATATATGAGAGTGGATAAGATGAAATTGACCCCCAACAACATATTCATCAATATATTTCATTGAAAGTGCTTGTCTTTTGTTTTAGCCATTGATCAACCTCATGCATACATGTTTATTTTCGTCTTTTGCATAGTAAAATCCAATTATTTTGTCTTAAGTCTTAGCTAATCGAAAAATCACATAACTAAACTAGGCCGTGAGTCCTTTGGGAGAACGATACTTGGTCTTACCGAGTTTATTACTTGAAACGATTCGGTCATACTTGCCGATTGTTAAACAAGTTTGTGACATCATATTTTGGTGATCATAAATTTGTGCATCACTTACCCAAAGCTCATTTTATTCTAGCCTTTGAACTCAACTCTTCTTGTGAAACGTACAATATCTGATCTTCTAACTTTTTTCTTGAAAACTTCTTCACCCAAAACAATAACATAACTTCTAGATTACCAATATCTCCACCCATTTCACGAAACTTAAATCTTGGTCTTCTCATTCCTTATCTTCGAGGCAAGCAATTGTCTCAAAGCCTTAAACCAATTCTAATGAAGGTATACAGGTCAAGTTGTCCTTGAATCTGCATTCCTCTACTACTATAAAGCACAGTACACTATCACAAAGGCAAGAACAAGAAAAAAATTTCTATAGAAAACAACGTTGGAACCCCAACTCTTTCTTACCCTAAACCTTCATAATTAAGAAAGGAAAATCATTTCTAGTAAAAGTCATGAGTGTGCACCCTCATTACTTCTATCAAGACATTTTATGTTCTCAAAACTTCCAGTTAGATAGACAATTTTACTATCTAGACTTGTAGGAAATGGTAGAATATACCATTTAGACTCAACTTTTCACAGGAAAGGCACGACAAACCCACAACTCACAAGTCGTTTTAAGAACGAACTGCTCTGATACCATTAATGTAATATCCCAAAATATAGTATAAACTATATTGTAGAGTCATCACATGCAACGATGAAATAGAACAGTTTCTGAGAATAAAGTTAACTTATAGTTATACTAAAATAACCATAAATTTAAACTTTACAAAACTCTATCCTAATACAAAACTATATGCATGACCGACTGATCCCTACAAAACTATACACACAACCGATCGGTCCTAGTATAAGCAGCTGGGTCCTCTCCATCCAGCGCCTGCTCCAAAGAACGCTCGTCATCCTCTGCTCACACCCATCGGATGATCATTGCAAAGAAGAAATATCGAACGAATAACATAGACAAGACAGAAAAGCAAGGGTAAGCTAGAGTAATTTAATTGATTACAGTTATCATGCAAATTAAACAAATACATAAGCACATGTCAACCGAACACTTTAAAGCATACAATGAACGACCATACATTACAAAAAGAATGACCGAACACTTGACTTGACCATCCGGATTGTATGAATATGTTGCTTGGGCCGTTCGTGCACCCAGGTGATGTAGTAACTAGATACCCTCAGCTGCCACACTGGGTTAGTCCGTTATAACTCACCTATGATACCCTATAGGCTAGGACCTCCTGCTATTCTCACGACATGACTTACTCATCTCGACTTGAGACTTGGTAATCATTAGAATGTCAGGATGAACACCGTGGATTTCGCTATCCATATTCATACTTTACCACCACCTTGATACCAAATCCCTGAGACATTCCTCCTTGGAATTCTCTTTCACATCCATATTACAATTATCATTCCGTACTTTTCCTTTTTACACCATTATGATAATGCATACATAAGTCATCAAAGCAATTGGATCAATTAATTAAAACAACACACTGGAATAACTATGAATATAGGCCAAATAGAAATCACCAACATAGAAGAACAAGACCGAACACCTTGTGAATGTTGGAGACCGAACGACCAATAATAGATACAGCTGAAGAGAAAACCGAGCGTTATTAATGACCGAACGCATTTAAGACCTTATACAAGTACGAGGTCCAAGACTAGTACAAGAACGAGCGCTACTAAGAGACCACACAATCCACTAAGACTGATCGCTACTAAGAGACCACACAACCCACTAAGACCGATCACTACTAAGAGACCATACAACCCACTAAGACCGATCACCACTAAGAGACCATACAACCCACTAAGACCGATCACTACTAAGAGACCACACACCCACTAAGACCAATCGCTACTAAGAGATCCCACAACTCACTAAGATCGATCGCTACTAAGAGACCACACACCTCACTAAGAACGATTGCTATGACTAAAACAGAATACTAGTACAAGAGCGATCGGTTATTAACTGAAGCTCTACAGAAGTAGAACTCAGTTAAGACCGAACACAAGAAGAAAGTCGAACGGTTAATGAATGACACTCGGCGATCTGCATAATTCTGCAGAATAGCTGTAGAATTATGACCAACCACTATCTTCACCATATCCTACCACTTCCCAACTTCTAATCCTCCAAACATGATTCATATACCAAATTACACCTATCCAAGGATACATTAACCTTTCTCACATCATCCTAAAGAAATTGGTATCAGATTAAACTCCAAATTATGCAGAATCACCACTCAATGACCAAACATCCATTTTTCACTTTTGACACATTTTAGAGAGGCTTAAGGGTTCTAACAGGTCTAAAGAAACTTGCCTAGACTTTCCCCACTGACTAAATTCTCTCCTGACCCCAAAGTCTCATTTTCACCTCTCCACTTCCTTAAAACCATAACCGAACAATGACAGAATACACCTTAGAAGACTCCCAACCAGTTCACAGATTTCAACAAGCATAAAATCAATGCAGAACAATCAACCATGCAATTTTCCACACATGTAACCATCCAAACAACAATCTCATACATAGAAAATCATAATTAAATTAACTAGCTTCCCTTACCTCTTAGCCGAACCGAACAAGTTCTATCCTTCTAGAAAACTTGCTCACAACACCAGAAAATCTTAAGAACACCTATAGCTCACAGATTTGTAAGAAGAGACCAACCAAAGGACCAAGAAACAAGTCAAAATTGAGGAGAGAAAGCTGATGAACACATGCAAACCGAAATGTTGCTTGCATGTGCTAAAAGTTTCAGAATTTCACAAAACTCCAGGGAAACGAAACTTACCGGCTCTAAACACGAAATTGATCAGTGGGATAGAAAGCTCTTGACGTCTGGATCGTCTAGGAAGCTTCTGATCACCAATCAGATGAATCTCTAGTGAGAAAAATCCAGAGAGAAGGGAGAGAAAGGGTAGAGAATAGTGTTTTTAGAGAGATAGAATGTATTTAGATAATGAACCGAGTGTTTTAAATAATGGTTAGCTTATTTTAACACAAATTCTCGGTCCCATTACTTTAATACATCTATCTACTCTTAACAGGCTATTTTATGAGTTCTTACAATTGTTGTATCTGTTAAATTTTCTACCACTTAAATTAATATTCTAAGTCTTTCCAAATAAAACAAGACTTTAATTTTATATTAGTTAAACCTAAGTCCATTTTTAACCTACTTTTTCTTTACATAACACATAACACTTCTTTCCCCACTTTCTCTCCTCACGCGCCTCCTCCATACCTTCTCACGCCCTCCACTTTCATCTTCGCGCGAGATCTCTCTACCTCTGTGTCTAAGGGCACACATGTCATAGTCGTCGCGTCTTGTCTCCCCTCTTGCGTTGTTGTTGCTACTCTCGTTGTCGATGCTCTCGTTGCTGTTGTCCCCACTCTCCTTATCGCTACCACCGCTCTCGTCGCCGCTGCCACCACTCGCGTCGTTGTTGTTGTCACCGTTGTCGTTGTCAGAACCCTTAAAAACCCAAGTGAGTGGAAGCCAGGTGTTAGTGAAAATCAGAAAGTGGAAGACAGGTGTGGGCAGCGGAGTGGCCGATCGGTTTTAACGGTGGTGGAAAACTCAAACTTTCAAATTTCATGCCACTTTCTTTGCATGCACCATTCTCTTCCAAACATTCTGAGTTTTCGTTTTCTCCTCCTTCTCTCTACAAATCTCGTACTTCTCTCCAAAAATTCTCATTCCTTTCTCCTTCTGATCAATAATCAGACCACGTTTGAGATCTTCTGGTTAGCAAGAGCTCTCTTTTGCACCGATCGAGTTGTTGGTTGAACTGGTAAGTTCATTCCTTTCTCGGCATTGTTGTTTTCTTGCACATGCAAACCAATTTTTGGTTGCATGAGTTTATCTTCTTCTTCTATAAAATTCTGGTAGCACTTATGGTATTGTGTTTGGTTTAGTTTCGTAAAAATCTAAAAGTGTATAAGACTGGTAGTGGTGATCAACATTCTTCAACTGTGAGCATTCGGCTATATCTAGAGGTAAGGAAAGCTTATATAATTTGATTATGATTTCTTGTTCTGAATGGTTGTATGTTTGTTTGATCCATGGATGAATATGAAGTATTGCTTTTAGTGCATGTTTTGTATGTATAAGTGTTTGAGCTACAACTGATGTGAACTGACCGATATAGGGTTTGCTCTTAAGTTTGTAGTATTCTGTATAATCTTGTGGTTGTCACCGAAATTCATTATTGACCGTTCCATTTTCCTTTGAGTATTCGGTCTGGACTGAATTCTTCTTTTGTGGAGAATTTCAGTTAATGACTGATCGGTTTTTCTCTTAGTATATTTGTAAGTAAGTGTTCGGTCTAAGTATAGTTTCCTCTTTATGATTCCTAAACAGTTTAGTTAATGTATTCTATCATACTCAAAGTCGTAGATGTTATCTTTATCCTTCATTGAAAATAAGTGTTGTGAAGTTATATATATATATATATATATATATATATATATATATATATATATATATATTCTTTCTGTTTTATATAAGTTTAGTAGTGCTCGGGCTTGAACCCAACGCTCGGTTTCAGTAGTGCTCGGTATTAAACCTAGTGCTCAGTATTGTTATCATACTCCATTGTATAATATATTTGGGCTAAGAGTGTTCGGCCAAGCTCAGTAGTGTTCGGCCAAGCTTAGTGGGGTTCGATCAAGCTCAGTAGTGTTCGGCCAAGCTTAATAATGTTCGGCCAAAACTTGTAATGTTCGACTATTTCCTAAAAACTTACCTAGTGTGGACCATTCGGTCCTGTTCTGTGTATAAGTGAAAGACCGCTCGGTCTTACACTAAATGTTCGGTTAGATTAGTTTAAAAGGTATTCTCTCATTTGGTCTTGTCTCTAAGATGAGATATTGTATTATTTGTTCAATTTAAATGTATTGATGATGAAGTATGATGGTATTTAAATTGTGAGATGAATGAAATAGTATGGTTATGAAAGAGTATTCCAGGGAGGAATATCTCAGAATTTGGTTATTGAATGGTAAAGTATGAATGTGGTCATGCTAAGGTGGCGTTTATCCTGATATTCTGTGATTACTCATTCTCAAGTAGAGAGGAGTAAATCATGTGTGAGAATGACAGGAGGTCCTAGTCCATAAGTTAAGATGGGTGAATTTTACCGGACTAACCTCGGGTGGTAGTTGTTGAGTACATCCCAGTTACTACATCACCCGGGTGCAAAAACGTCCTAGCTACACAGAATTCATACAGTCCGGACAGTCGAAGTATAGTGGTCGGTTTTTGCTTATCTTGATGTATGGTTATGATTGAAAATGTATAATTTGTTGTTGTATGATTGACCTATTGAATCATATTAGATTTATGTGAAATACATGTTTACTGAATTAATTAAATTACATAAGCTTACCTTATTTTCCTGTCTTGTCTGTATTGTCGTTCGGTTGTCATCTTCCTGTTGCAATGATCATCCTGTGGATATGAGCAGAAGGAGAAGAGTTGCTGGAAGAAGCCTTAAAAGAAGCGGAGGTTAAGGCTCAACCTTGAGACCGTTTGGCAGTGAGAGTTATTCTTGTTTTGTATAACCGTTCAGTTAAAAGATTAGTTTTGGAACCGTTCGACATAGTAGCTCGATTTGTAAAATTCAAAAAACTCTGTAGTATTTTAGTAAGGTCGTTCGGCTATAACTGTACTCTTTCCCCTCTTAACTGCATTGTAATATTATTAAGTGTGAGTATTCTATAATATGGTTTTACACTGTATTTTTGGGATGTTACAGTCGTCGTGTCTTTTTAGGGTTTTAGATTGTAATCTTTGTGTTATAGTGATTTTTAGGGTTAAAAGTTTTTAGGATTTTAGGGTTTATTGGGAGTGATTAATAATTGTTCCAATTTCTCTTCCCATGTTTTTGATTTGTATTATGTAAAGAATGTGATTGGATTAATTTATGGGTTCTTAGTATATTTCTTTGGTTGTGAAGATGAATTGAATTGAGGGAATGATTGTTTGTATTATATTCTAATTTCATCTTTATTGTGTATGGGAACTTATATAAGAAAGATGAATTTTCTAGTGGTTGATTGAGGTGCTAATGGAGTATATGATTGGATTTGCAATTTTGAGTGAAAAATTTAAGTCAATTGATTCACAATAGAGTTAAAATTTAAGTATATTGCTTAATAACAGATTTAAAATGTAAGTATGTTAAATTGAAATCGATTCTAAAACACATAAAAAAAACTCAACATAACATACTTAAAAACTCTTTTAGCAGCAGTGGTTTTACTCATAATTGAATTGAATTTGTTTTGATTGAATTTTCATTTCTACCACCAAACTCCTCAATTATGATCTCTTTTAGTTTTAGCAATGTTTTTGTCCCATTTGGTTGATCAAACCCTTAAATGGTTGCTTGGATATGAGTTAACTTTGATTTAAAATGATTAAGGAATGATATGGTGTCCGAATAATTTGTTGCTATCTAATTTCACTTCATTCCCCATACATGTTTCAGAAAAAGTTAAGATGATATAAATTAAGAAATAAAAAGCATATGGAAGAAGTCTCAGTCCATGACAGATGTCCTTTCACTCCTTTGCGATGTTTGTATAGACATGATGTCGGGATCATTCAAATCGATACTATTGGGTGCTTAAAATCGAAATAAATAAATAAATAATAGGTAAAAGTTATATAAAAAAGAAATATATAGCCATCAACGTGATATGTATAGTGCTAATTCCCTTTATTGGTTGGCATATGTATGGATAATGTGGATAAACACAGATAACTGCAAGCCATCTTTCTCCTAGCCAAAGCAAAAAAATTGTACTATGGATTTTCTGTCCATTGTCTCTACCTTGATATTTCGTTGTGATTTGATATATTAAGATGGCATAGTATCAACATTATTTTCATTAATTACTTTTGTTCTGATCTCAACTGTCATTGTATCAGGAAGGATTAATGAGAATTAAAGGAAGAAAATATATTTAAATTCTTTACTGATTCAATTTCTCCCAATTGAGAGTTAAGGAAAAGAGAATTCACTTTTAAAATCTTCCTTTTATTATCTTGATAACGAAAGTTCGTAGTTAAATTTCAATTTTGACTTTAATAAAAATAAATAGTCTATGTAGCCACTAAACTTTAATATTGTTATGAAAAAGGAGAAAAAGTTGTGAATTAAGCTTTACAAGAGTTATGATTGCAGGATTAGTTTTTCATCATCTTGAGAATTACAATAGATGTTAAAAACTAAAAGGAAAACAAAAGAAATAACTCGAGAGTTATTAAAGTAAAGAAGATCTCTATCATAATCTTTTTTAGGATTATAGAAGTTCTATCATCAACAATTCTTTTCGTTATTTAAATTTATTAGTGAGTGAGCTTGTGGCATACTTAGTGACATATTCTATGAATTATATTGTGAAAACATCTCAAATTAAATTGAAGTGTGCATTTAAACTTTTGAAATTTTTGAAAGATATTATCTCATGTTGTATGAGTAGACAATAGTTTTATTTCATAATAATCTATTAAAATATTGTAAAACTTAGTTTTAAAATTCATTTTCTAAATTAGTTTAAGATAAATAATATAATATAAAAATATTAGAGGAAGATTTATTTTTAATATTTTTATTTTTAGTTTGTCTCTAAATATCATCATGTTATCTCTAGTTTTTAATCAATTGATTGAATTTTATTAAAAAAATAATATTGCAATAATACAAAAGTATTATTTGAAGTACAACTACTTATAGTTAAAATATCAAGTATTATTTGAAAAGCAACCACTTCTAACTAAAAGAAAACCTTGAATGTTATTTGAACACTAGTTATTTTTGACTAAAATCTTGAGTATTATTTAAAAAGCAATTACTCTTTACTAAATACGAATATTGTTTGAAAAACAATTATTTTAACTAAAATCAAAAGATTTACAAATAAAATGACCTAAAAGATCACTAGATTGTTCAATTAAAAAAAGTAATATCTTAAGACAAATGTAAGATTTGGTTCACTCTTTTAAATTATTTTTAAACATGAATAATATTCTTCCTTACAAATACAATGACGAAAAGAATGACATGAATAATATTTTTATAAAAGACTTTTGTTAATCTTTATTCTTCTAAAAAAATCTTCTAGAGTCATTATACATTCTTTCCATCATGTAAGTTTTTTCTTCACTAGTGCAGAAATATTTTAGATGTCCGTTATTTTGGATTTTTTATGTCTGATCCATATCGGACGTCTATATGGGTGACGTTGATGAGACGTCTATTAATACCACATCGGACGTCTATAGACGTCCGATGTGGCATTAACAGACGTCTAGTGGGTATTTTTTAAAAAAAAATTATTTATTTTTGTAATAAAACCACACCTGAAAAGCAGAAAATTATCCCAGAACATTATAATGTTATATATCAACTCGTTTGAAGTTAACAAAGTACTAAAAAACAATCCAAAACCTAAACTATCAAAAGTTAAAGTTAAACTAAATCTAAATATGTTGAACAACAATATAAATCTTCCTATCTAAGTCCATCTTTGCAGAAGATAAGTTGTCCACTCCTGTCTTATCTTCTTAATTGTGTCCTCTGGTATAGTAGATGTACTCTTGAAGCGCTGCAAAATGAAGAAAGATGCATTATGTACCTATCTTACAACAAAGTTAAGTTGTTAGAAACTAAGAATCTAAATAAGTTAAGCATCATTACCTCATTCCAGTCATCTGTAATGACAGCTCGAATGATGGTCTTAATCTAAGACATGACATAGTACCCACATTCCCATGAATCTAGTTGTTTGTTACACTAAAATGACAAACTAAATAGTCAAGCATTTAGATCATTCAATAACTAGTAAAATAAATTAGAACTATAAATGACTTACAACCTTTAGATACAGGACATATACTAGCTGACCTCGGTTTTTACCCATTACTCTATTTACATTGAAAACACAAGGTAATATTAATATAACTATATTTATCATTAAATTTGAAGGTCAAAATTAATTTGAAACATAAAAAGAGAAACACTTACCCTTGAAGCATGTTTCTTAAGTCATTTTTCATCTTCCTGTGCAGCGAACAAAACCATACAATTTTACATTTTTTGGGAATGATGAGCATCAGCTGCCAATGAGACCTATCATGATTCATAAATAGTTAGTAAACTAATTAAGAAAAGTTTAATGAAATTTTACATCAAGTAACCCATACCCATCAATGTATGGCACAAAGTATATGTCTCTGTTTGACTCAGCCATCCATGTTTCCAAATACTTTTGTTTGCTCTCAATTGTGTTACCAGAAGGTTGGATGGTCTAAGGTTCAACAAATCTGTACATGGAAGACCGACCTTGATCCACGATGACTGTGTCCATGTACCTAAAACAACAAAGTTAAGTTGTTAGAAACTAAGAATGTAAATAAGTTTAATATGGAAGACAAAATTAACTATCTTACATGCACCATAGTTGAAGGATGGAAATATTTAACATTCTGTCTCCCCCAATGATCTCCAGTGCATCATTAAATGTGATATATATTGGGACATGGGGGGATGCCAAATACTCTATTATCCCAGTACACTTCTACTGGTCCTCTGTTCAACCTGGGTAATTTTGTCATGAGCTTTGCTAAAGGATCATCCTCCGCTTCAGCCAAGTCATCATCTTCATCTATGACTGGCTGATGCATCAGCTGCTTGTGGGGACATATGAACTGAAAATAAAAATTTCAAAGTTATCAATAAATATTTTTAAATTTAACATACAAACTAATAATAAAAGTATTATACCTATGGTGTAGCAATGTGTGACATGATCAATGCTTTAGGCCAGACTATAAATGTTCCTATGGCCTCCCCCAAAAAATGAATTTCTAAAGTGAGTACAGGCACCTAAGATTGGGGATCCCGAACCTCGTCAATCGTCACATTCACGTTGTGGGGTAATAGAGGAACACCATGAACAGTCTGCCCTCCCTAGAGTACTTGTCTGACAGCCATAATGCGTGGGGAATCCCCATCAACCAACAGCTCATACTGACCACTATACTCAATAGGCTTTACAACAGAGCATGATCCCTTAATGCTGACCCTAGGTGATGTGGGAGCTTCAGTGGGCAACCCCATGGTGGGTTGCGTCATGCAATGCAACTTCTCTTCAAGCGCTCTTTGAATTTATTTTTGTTCTTGTAGTTGCTCCATGAATCGTTGCTCCATTGATCTCATGCTTTGATTGAGCCTTTCCTCCCACTAAAGTCCATCTTCCTCAATGCCTCCTGACTCATGGATTGAGTGCTTTTTTGTGCAGGGCCAAAGTAGTCACGAAGACCAATCGCCCCAGGAACTCCACGTATACATCCTACATGCTCGAGCTTTCCAATGACCGTTGTTAGAATGTCGTCCCTACCTTGGCCAACAAATGTTCCCTGAGTTTGCTGCTCAACCAACCATCCTGCATATAAAAAAAAACTTTGTAAGAAGGAAAATGCGATGATAAATACACAATCCAACAATGCTTTGGTTTAAACTTACAATTTTTTGTGAGATCAAGGCAACTGAGAAAGATGTCATTCTCCCATCAGATTTAGTACGAGCAACCTTCCATAACTCGTACCTAGCAAGTGCAGGTGCTAGGTCGGGGGACTCAAATCCTAAGGCCTCCACTCGAGTCTTCCTCATCTTCTTCTCAAGTTTTGCATAACCACCTCGTGATAACACGTGTGGTGCATCATTTAGCCCTTGCCTTTCTTGGGCGGTTAACCTTTTACCCTGTGAAACCATGTATATTCATAAGTGTAAAATCATAATAAATTGCATTAACTAAAGACTCTGTAGATGTTAAGAGACAAACCTGTCAGTCGGCAGACTCTCTAGATGCACGAAACTACATCCACTCCTCCTGTGTGAAATTGTAGTGTTCCCATGGATTCTCATGTTGTTTGTCTCCAAAGACATATACACATGTCAGTCTTGTCTTGAAATCCCTCCATCTGGTCGCTACATGGGACAACACTTTCTTTCTAAGCTGAGTAGTGTTTGGAATTTCATAATTTTGTTGTTTAAAATAAAGAACATCTTAATGACATAAACCTATAAGAGAAAAAAGTATATCAAATTTCTTTTAAGTATACATACCTGAATATCTTGCCATAAAAGGTTCTTGTCGACCTCTGAGACGTCCTCCCAAGAATTAAGAAGGATAGACACATGGGTTTTTGCTAACACACTTAGATAACTCCTAAACCTATCAGCATTTGGCCTTGATGGCACACCTGATCTGAGGTCAATGTCAACATGTCTCCTCTTGCCATCAACTCGTTGGGATGTCACTTCTGGCAATCGTGTGACAGATCAACGACGTTCTGATCCTAAGGTCGACATACCTGCAAAATATATACAAGGTTAGTACAACATCAAATATGATGAATAAGACAACATTTAAAGTCACTAAAAAAATATTACAAAACCTATTAAGATATTGTTTTCTCCCAGATCCCTTCATTTTGATCACTACGAATTTCGTGGATGTCATCGTCTATGTCATTGACCTTGTCTTCAATGGGTCTTGATGCAACAGATGTTGTCTCAAGTATATCAAGAGAATCTTCATCATCATAGTCGTGCATGTTTTTTCCTTCCAAAACCACTAACCATTTTTTATTTGCTGGATCATTTACGTAGAATATTTGTCTTACTTGACTAGCCATAATAAATGGTTCATCAGTGTAATTCATCTTGTTGAGGTCCACCAATGTGAAACCAAAGTCATTTGTCATGACATCGGAATTGATATCAACCCATTTACACTTGAAAAATAGGACTCTAAAACTGACATAATCAACTTCCCATATTTCTTGTATTATTCCAAAATAACTCATGGATGCTGTGATTGGATTTTTTTTCTTTAGAACTAGCAAAGTGCACAGCCTCAGCTTGTAGTGTAACCCCATTATTTTAAACTCTAATTTTGTCATCTTCTACCTTTGTCTGAAAAGAAATATTGTTTATATAGTACCCACCATATGTCATGACATCTGTGTTCGGCCCGCGAGATAGCCTCAATAGACTTTTAGAAACATCTGGAGTCGCATAAATCTTTTTTCTTAAACCATTGTAAGAAGGTTTTGACATGTTCATTAAGATGCCAGTTTTCACTCATTCTTGGGTATGATGCCTTTATTTCATTAACGTAATCAGAAATGTAAGGAATCACATAACAGTGTTGTTTAAGATGTACAAATGAGCTTGATCAACTTCTTTTCTACTAACACACTCAATTCTCACACCTCAAACACCCTTACCTTCACATTTTCCTTCATGTCTGCTCTTAGGAAGACCCACTGGTTCACAATTTTGCATATAACTTGAACAAAATTCAATGGCTTCTTCTGCAACGTATCGCTCTATGATTGAAGCTTCTGGTCGATACTGATTCTTGACATATCCCTTTAAGATCTTCATGTATCTTTCAACAGGGTACATCCACCTCAAGAATTTCTCTTACAAGATGAAAAATCAAATGAACCATGATATCAAAAAAAGAAGGTGGAAAATACATCTTCAATTCACACAGTATTCTTATTCCTTCATTTTCCAATTGATCTAAACATCTAGGGTCAACAACTTTCTTGTAAATGGCATTAAAGAACAAAATCATACGTGTCAGAATACCTCTAACAGAAGCAGGTAATATGCCTCGAATAACAACTGGTAACAATTGTTGCATCAATACATGACAATCGTGAGACTTTAAACCAACTAACTTTAACTCTTGCATAGCAACAAGGTCACTAATATTTGAAGAATAACCTTATGGAACCTTCACACTTCTTAAAGAGTTACAAAAACTTTGTTTTTCTTTTTTAGAAAGAGTGTGACATGCTGGGGGTAGATATGTGCGTCTTCCAATTGACTGTGGATGTAACTTAGAACGGATTCCCATGTCAGCCAAATCTTGTCATGCTTTTATTCCGTCTTTTGTCTTCCCTTTCATGTTTAATAAAGTTCCGATGACACTGTCACAAACATTTTTTTTCCACGTGCATGACATCTATACAATGTCTAACATCAAGTTTACACTAGTACGGAAGATTAAAAAATATTGATCATTTTTTCCAAATGTTTTTTGCAAAGGTACTTTTATGATGTTTTCCGAAGACAATGTCAATGTTTTTGACTTCCTTGTACACTTCTTCACCATTGCGGAGTTTGCACACAACCTCATCCTCAACACTTCCATTAAATGTTTTTTTCAATCTATGGTAAGGGTGATTACTAGGAAGGAATTTTCGATGTCTTGTACATACTGTCTTTTGACCATGCTTCAATTGAAGGTAACTAGTATTTTCTTCACAAATGGGACATGCAAAATGACCTTTTATACTATAAGCGCTTAAGTTTCCATATGCTGGGAAATCATTTATAGTGCAAACCAACATTGCACGCAAACGAAAAGATTCTTGAACATCAGAATCGAACAATTCGACCCCTTCTTCCCACAACATTTTCAAATCATCAATTAAAGGTTTCAAGTAAACATCAATGTCATTTTCAGGTTGTCTAGGACCCGATATCATCATGGACAACATCACATATTTTCTCTTCATGCACAACAATGGAGAAAGATTGTATATCATCAACATAACTGGCCATGAATTGTGTTTCCTACTTAAGTTCCCATAAGGATTCATACCATCAGTTGCAAGTGCAAGTCTTAAGTTTCTTATATCTGCACCAAATTCTGGAAATGTTTAATCCATCTTCTTCCATTGTGGTGAATCAACTAGGTGTCGAAGAAGGTTATCGCACTTTCTTCCAGCAGCGTGCCATTTAAGGTTCTTTGCATTCCATTGTGGTGAATCAACTGGGTGTCGAAGAAGATTATCGCACTTTCTTCCGGCAGCGTGCCATTTAAGGTTCTTTGCATCTTCTTTAACAGAGAACATACATTTGAACCTAGGTATTATAGGAAAATACCACATCACCTTAGTAGGTGCACCATCATTACCTTCATCACTAGTGTTTTTGTCATTTTTCTTTTTAAAACGGGATAAACCTCATGTTGGACAATACTTTAGCGAAGAAAATTCCTTTATGTACAAAACACAATCATTAGGAGAAGCATGTATCTTTTGATATTCAAGTCCCATTGGACATAACATTTTCTTGGCCTCGTAATGACGAATAGGTAGAGTATTATTTTCTGGAAGTTGCTTTTACACTAAACAACTTCAAAGTTGCAGACAAACGTGTAAAGTTGGGGTATCCTGGAAACAACGGTTGCTCTAAATCATGTTTAAGAGAATCATACAAATTAGCTCTTCCAAAATTATCTTCACCAACATCACGTATCATGTCCTCTAAATGATCACTCATCCATTCTTCCACATAATCTGTTCCTCGTGACGTGGTAGGCTGGTCCAGTACTTCTCAATGCCAAGTCCAAACGGTATAAGTTCTCATTATGCCGAACATGAATAGATGGTCACGCATATTGCCTAAGTCTTGGAGTGTTTGATTAAGACAACAAACACAAGGACAAAAATATGTCNATTGACTGTGGATGTAACTTAGAACGGATTCCCATGTCAGCCAAATCTTGTCATGCTTTTATTCCGTCTTTTGTCTTCCCTTTCATGTTTAATAAAGTTCCGATGACACTGTCACAAACATTTTTTTTCCACGTGCATGACATCTATACAATGTCTAACATCAAGTTTACACTAGTACGGAAGATTAAAAAATATTGATCATTTTTTCCAAATGTTTTTTGCAAAGGTACTTTTATGATGTTTTCCGAAGACAATGTCAATGTTTTTGACTTCCTTGTACACTTCTTCACCATTGCGGAGTTTGCACACAACCTCATCCTCAACACTTCCATTAAATGTTTTTTTCAATCTATGGTAAGGGTGATTACTAGGAAGGAATTTTCGATGTCTTGTACATACTGTCTTTTGACCATGCTTCAATTGAAGGTAACTAGTATTTTCTTCACAAATGGGACATGCAAAATGACCTTTTATACTATAAGCGCTTAAGTTTCCATATGCTGGGAAATCATTTATAGTGCAAACCAACATTGCACGCAAACGAAAAGATTCTTGAACATCAGAATCGAACACTTC